ATGCATGATTTTACTGGGAAAGCAGCCTTCCATCTGAATAGGAGGAGGCAGAAAGGATGAGCGTTCAAGGGCTATTTGAAGTAGGATCTGAGTGGTTGTTCTCATTGGAGTCACTCACTGTACTTTTAAAAAATATATTTTTTCTTTATTGGTTTTAAAGAGAGAGGAAGGGAGAGGGAGAGAGAAACATTGATGAAAGAGAACATCAATTGGCTGCCTTCTGCATGCCCCCCAATGGGGATTGAGCCCATAACCTGGGCAAGTTGCTCTGACTGGGAATCAAACTGGTGACCTCTTGGTGCATGGGTCAATGCTCAACTACTGAGCCACACTGGCCGGGCAAGTCACTGTATTTTTAATGGGACTCCTAAAAGGACAGCTAAGAATTAACTTCAGCCAGGTAAATTGCAGGGTTAGATAAAAACATGGGTCAACAGACTGAGAAGTGACAAACCCAGTTTTTATTTGCCCAAGGACATGTTACTGTGTAGTAGTTATACCTGTAGTTCTAGGCAAAAGATTCCCCAAACCATACCCTCACCTCTGACTACTCTGGTGAGTTTGAGATCCACCTGTTCATCTGTTTGCTGTTTTTTTTCTAAGTAGGTATTCTGTCTATATCTCAAATTTCCTTCATTCCAAACTAAGCTCTTCTCCCTTAAACCTGCTTCTCTTTCTAAATCTTAATGTTGCAATGTTGAGGCCAGTCCCCAGTTACCAGGGTAAAATCCCTTAAGGTGTTCAGTCTCTTCCTGCTTCCTTCTGTAATCGGTTGTCAGGTCTTGCCACGGTTTCTAATTTGGTGCTGTCATTAGAGATTTCTGCAAAGCATCGATCTCTGCATTTGCACTTTTCAAATAGTCCTAAACCAGGCTCTCATTCTCTCCCTTAGGGACTATTTCATTGCCTTCCATTGGCTCCGGTGTCTTGATTATAAACCTACTCTTATGTTTCCTTCTAGGGGTTTAATGATTTCAAGTCTTATGCTTAAGTCTTTAATCCATTTTGAGTTGATTTTGTGTATGATGTAAGATAATGGTCCAGTTCCAGTCTTTTGCATGTGGTTGTCTAGCTTTCCCACCATCATTTATTGAAGAGAATATCTTTTCCCAAAGGAATATTCTTGGCTCCTTTGTAAACATTAATTGACAGTATATGTGTGCATTTAATTTTGAGCTCTTTGTTTCATTGATCTGTTTGTGCTTTTATACCAATACCATACTGTTTTAATTAGTACAGCTATATCATATAGTCTGAAATCAGGAATTATAATACTTTCAACTGTGTTTTTATTTCACAGAATTGCTTTGGCTATTGATGTCTTTTGTCTATATTAATAACACTCAATATAGCAAAATTAGTTCTAAGACAGAGTTAAAAGACAAACTTTGATTTTTAGTCCTCCAAATTGATTGTAATCCCCTTGGGGGCAATTGATACACCCACGAATATATTTAATTGAGTACTTTTTCATATAGGGTTTTGTTTAGTTGGGCTGGTATTCTTTTTTTTTTTTTTTTTTTTTAATCCTTACTCGACATTTTTTTATTTTTTGTTCAGATAGAGTGGGAGGGAGGGAGAGAGAGAAAGACATTGACGTGAAAGGGACACATTGAGTGGCTGCCATTCGCATGACCCAACCAGGGCCTGGGACAAACTGCAACTGAGGTATGTGCCCTTAGGGGGAACCGAACCTGGGTCTCTCTGGACATCAGGCCGACGCTCTAACAGCTGAGCCAAACTGGCCAGGGCTGGGCTGGTATTCTTGCAAGAGTTGGAGGGCTGGTACTGCTCTATGCAAATGCAGTAAGCACTCCTGAGTATTTATGATTTAATTAATGGACTATTAAACATGGACATCAGGCTATGCTAACTAAACTAATTTTTTGGATGATTTTCTACTTTTGGTTTTCTCAGTTTTAGTTGCAAAAGGTAAAGATTTATTGATATTCTTGTTGCCCTTTGCAGGATTACTGGTTGCAACTTTTACTTAGCAAGAAACAATCTTTTCTCTTTTGGAAATCATTGTGCGAACTTTTTTGCCTCTAATGGAATGTAAATGGATACAAGTAGTTGCAGCATATGGTTTATATTTTTCTGGTTTTACATTTCTTTCTGCGTTGAAGTGAAATTCTTACATTATCTGGCAGAAGGTTACTTACAAATATTTTGTCAGAGGGTTCTTCACTGTCTTAGCAAAACCTTACTGCCAAGGGACTGTATACTTTGGGTGAGTTTTGAGAATAGGACTTTCTTTTGGGAGTAGCAAAACAAACATGGTGTGGTTCATGGGGAGAAGTTGCCTTTTGAGGACAAAGTCAGGGCAGAACTACCAGTGCTTAAGGGCACAGACTAAGTTGTGGCTTTGTCACTTACTAGGGAGTGACCTTGGGCAAGTCTCTACTGCCTCATTTATAAAATTAGGATGTTGTAAGGTTGATGTGAGCTGATATATAGAGAGAATTAAAAACATAATACTTATTATATTAGCAAATAATAAACAGTAAATATTGTCTTTATAACATTAATCATCATCATCATCGTCATCATCATCATCATCATCATCATCATCTTAGGTGAGCCAGGTCAAGTTGATTGATTCTGTGCTTTTTTGCGGGGTGCTTTTGATTTTGAATTACTTGTAAGAGTGATTTATTCTTTACAACTAGGTCGATGATCTTATGGATGAATTTGATCACAGTAGAAATAATGATCCCCTAAGTATAGGTTATTTTATGAGATTACTAAAAAGAGAAACTCTATTGATTATAGTCAATATTATTGCTAAATTTGAAAAATAATATATCGATGCAGTTTTTTGTTAGTATTAGTGACTCATTAAAAAACCCCATGAAAATATGCCCCTTAGCAAATTTTGGTTTCAGACAAATGAAATTTAATCAATATAATAAGGTGAAAAAGGAATACAAGAACCTAGAAAACTGAAAACAACTACCTCCAAACTTAACTGGCTGAGTGATCACCTTTGCTGAAACATTTTCATTGACTATATTATGTGACATCCCTGAGTTGGCTGTGTTGATGTGTGGTATCATTTCTGAGGTCATAAATGACATTATCAACAAGGCAGAAGCAATGATACTGAGCTAAAGTAAAAAAGCTATAAAATACATCCAAGGGATCACCAGGCTGCTGTCTGTATGGGGAGGACAGATACATTGTTTAGGTAAATAAAACTAGGTCTCTGTTCTCTCGGTGCCTAATTGTCAGGGGAACCCAGTTAGCCTGGAGATAGCATGCTATCATCTCTGGGCTCCTAGGGATTCTGTTGTGTGATAGACACCCACATGAGCATTTATAGCAGTGCTAGGAATGATGATGATGAGCTATAACAGATGGGTGCCTTCCAAATTGGCTAAATTGTGGTTTCTCTTATCAGAGCACCCTTGGACATTGGGTTTGGTTTATGGTTGGCTGAATGATGAATGGAAGTCCCTAGCCAGCATGTACCTACTGTTTTGTATAACTTGGGAGAGAGAGGACGATCGGTGTAGAGAAGGGACAGTTAAGAAGAGACCTCCAGCTGTAGAGAATATACGCATGTGAAATATTTTTCTGGTGAGAATCTTAATAATAAAGATGAGTCTTAGAATTTAGGAATTTGTCAGAAGGAATGAGATCACAGTAAAAATAAAGTTTTAAGAAATGCCAACTTCTATTTTAGTATAAAATTTATAGTATTCCAAAATAAATTTTCTGTAGAATTATAGTTACCAACTGCACTGCAATTCTTTGTTTTAGGACCCAAACATTTTAGCTATCATAATTTACATCAAGATACTATATGTTCTTTATTATCCTAAGTTAAAAATGACTTCATATTAAATACTTTCCCGAGTCATGAAATATCTGTAGAGTGTAAGATGTGTTGTCCAGACAGGTCAGACCTCCGCCCATTCAGGAGAATAGGGTGGTGACTTCCCAGAAGGATGTGGGTGTGCCACCTGCTGTTTTGAATAAAAGTCTTAGGCAGGTAGTATGGACTGTAGGTTAGAATTTTTTTTATGTGATTGTACAGTGTTATCTTTTTTTTTTTGTTTAGCAGAACAAAGGCTGGCATGAGACTTTTTGGTGGAATTTTTATGTTTTTGATTGTTTCTGAAAAGTAAAGAATATTTAAGTCTTCAAAAAAATCCTTAAAATAATTTCATGTGTCTAGTAGCAGAAATATTTTTACAAAAGGTGAGAAGAAAGACAGTTAAGAGCTAACACAATGCAAGACTGGAAGTATACAGGGAGCACAAAAGCGTACTTGGTCTGGGGGGTTTCCCTTGAAATTGGGGTGTCATGCAACTCTCGCTAGAGATAACTTTTTTTTTTAAAGTTTCTTCAATGAAAGGAGCTTCAGCAGTGTTACACGGTCACTTTGTGAAAGGATCAAGGCATGGTTTCCCGTGGCTTTTTGTCTGTAAAGTGTAGACTCTTTTAGGGATAGAAATGTAAGTGGGTGGGCTTTGGGCTCTAGTGAGAACTTCATTAGGAAGGGGAACACTCAGGGAGTTGTACCACAATTTGAATTAAACACTTGCCAAAGAGCCTGAAGCAGGCATGACATTCATTGTCATGTTGAGTGACAGAAGACTTCCACCAGTTCTCCTGTGGACAGGATTAGCGGTTGAATAAATCTGCAAGGACAGTGTGCAGTTTTGTCAGATATACAATGACATTTCTTTTCACAGCTCTCTTGACTTTATGCTGTTTAAATATCCTCGGTTGTCCCTTAATTTGCTTTTCTTTCTTTAATTCCTGTTGGAAGGGAACTTTCTGTAGAGTCAGTTCCCATGTCTAAGTTTTTTTTTGGTTTATTGTTTTTGAATGGTAATACTCAAAATGGCATGTTAGTTAGTAACTTCCTTATTTTTTCTTTTCTAGTTTAACATAGTTTCAGAATCTACATGTCTCTTTATTATTCGGACTGTTCATGCAATAAAAATCCTAATTAACCTTTTTTGTTTCCTTTTTCTTTTCTTTTTTTGTAGGCTAAGAAATGGCATTTAAGAAGGCAGTGAAAGGGACTATTCTTGCTGGAGGAGGTGCTCTTGCAACTGTTCTAGGCCTCTCTCAGTTTGCTCATTACAGAAGGAAGCAAGTAAGTCATGGTACCTGTATTGATCATACTTTGAAACTTAAATCCATTCAAGAACTGTGCATGGGGTGTGTGCATGCTGATGGTTTTGTGTAGAAATGACTGTCTCAGCTTGATCTGAAAGACACTAACTTAGAATACTGCCTTCATGACCCCCGAGAACATTGTGTGTCTTGTTTTTAAAAAGTAGATTTCTTTATCAGAAAGCATTATATAATTTAGCCTCTGTTTTGGTTTTAAAAAGCTGCTTCATTTCCGAGTGCCCTCGTTTGTTCATTTAGACTTTCCTCATTTAATCCTTCCAAATGTCTGGACACCTTCCACGTTCCTGCCAAGAGTTCGTCTTATTAGAAGGCAGGCAGCCGAGAAAGGAAGTGGAAAAGAAGGAGTCTATGTCAAAGGCCCAAATTGAATCTTGTTTCTGTTTCTGGAAGGTTTATGTGGTATTACTTTATATTTGGTAAAATTTTTATGGGGAAAGCCATGAAAATGAGATTGGTAATGAAGTTTCCAAATAATTTAAAGGGTTCAGTTTATTTTTATTTTATTTTTTCCCCCTTTGGAGAAAAAAATGTACTACAATTATGCCTTGCCATAGTTCAAATTAATGCCAGGAAATAATATTGGTGAATGGTTTTTTTTTTTTTTTCAGGATTGGTAGTCATGTCAATAGTCATTATAAGTCCCCCATGACCTAAGGATATTTTGTGATACCAGCTGGATGGTGTATTCTCTCTTTCTCTCTCTCTTTTTGGGTGGTGCATTCTCTAAGCAAAGATGGAAGTGAAGGAATTTGGGAAACTATTTGTAGCTGGGTTATCTATGAAATATCAATATTTTACATTTTTGTGAAAACCTTTAAGCCATGATTGTCTTACACTGGTTGTTTTGGTTGCTTTCAGCCACAGGGTATAGAGCCAGCCACTTGCTTGGAGTCCCATGTCCTGAATGGGAAATACCACTTTAAAAACTCATATTAGGAACAATCAATTTGCTGGCTTATAGTTTTTTTTTTTTTTTTAAGTTTATTTTTAGTGATTCTTCCTAAAGATGGATAATACTGAACAGGTTACACTAATCTTTTTCATTCTTAACTTGGAGCACATACCTTAAGGTTTCCCCAGGTATATATGTTGCAGGTATTATTAATTGCCTCGCTTGTTATTGAAACTTACCTGTACCTATCGATAAGTTTTGATGCACACTACTTTCTTTTAAAATGTCTTGGTTTCTTAAAACTGGGTGTGAAAAGACGTCACTTCTGTGAGGCTGTTTGTGAAGTGCAGTTTTATTCGGGGCTGGGGCTTTAGTGGGTTGGGTTTCTTCTGCCATCCCAAAGCAGTGCTCTCTGTAATGATACTGGAAAATGCCAGTGTCAAAGGTTATGGCATTTACTATGGTGCGTTGTTGCTAAATTTGTACATGGTTTATGACTTAACCACAGTAAGCGTGTTCTACCTCAGAGTTTGTAACTTAACTTTGTACCAGGGTAATGCTGGTTTTTTTTTTTTTTTTTAATGTTTGGTTTCTCTTTAATTTCAAAGAATAGAATTAACAGTTGACACTGTCTCCAATCAATCCAGTCAGAGGTGAATTTTAATAATTAAAATCAAAGGCAAACAAGGGACATTTTGTCATTTTCTTCTTCCTCTGTTAGACATACTGACCGCCCTAATAGCTAAAGTGAAACAGATACCAGCAGTTCGAGTCATTTATAATTTTAAGCTGACACGTGTTTTTGAGAAAAATCACCATAGGCAGATTCAATCAATGAGTTGCATAAGTTATGCAGCCAAGAATGTGTGCATTCTTTTGTGGTGATTCCTGTCCCTTTAAGCCACTGCCATGAGCATATTTTGGGTAGCAGGTTGAAATATAGCCATAGGATTGGCAAGAAGAGAGAGAGAGAGAGAGAGAGAGAGAGAGAGAGAGAGAGAGAGAGAGAGAGAGGTGGGCAAGGGAGAAGAGGAGACCAACTCATTTGAGCCATTGACATAAAATGACCACCGGCCTCAGCTGTCTGCTCTCGGAAAACATCTGCCAATCAGAACCATGCTAGGCAGGAAAATTTTCCTGACTTCAATAGTCAACAAAAATCTGCCCCTTGATATCCATTATATGGCAGAATTTTGCAGAAGTGTGACTTTAAAAAATGTTCCTTTAAGAAAAAAATGTTTTTAGAGAGAGCGGAAGGAGAAATACAAACACTGATTAAGAGACAGACATCAATCGGCTGCCTCCTGCACGCCCCCTACTGGGGATTGAGCCCACAATCCAGGCATGTGCCCTGACTGGACTCAAACCTAGACCTTTCAGGCCATGGGACAACACACTGCCCCACACCGGCTGGGCTCCATTTTTTTTTTTTTTAAACAGAGCAGTGCTTTATAGTATTAGCTTGTGTTTACATATTTTTTCCCCCAGTTTTCTAAGATAATTCCAATGGATAAACTCTCCTCCTTTAAGAATAAGTTGGTGTTGAAAGCCCAAGATACTGATATATGGGAAAGCTGTCTGTTGAATTTATGTTTCAGGCACATTTTGCTGGCATTTCTGTACCCACAGTTCTGTCTCCCCTGGCCCTCAGCTTGTGCTCAGTTGATATTCCCAGTACCAAGCTTCCTTCCTAAAATGCAGACAGCGGTTGTATGCAAAATACAAATGGGTTGATTCTAAAAGTTGAGCAGTCATTAAAGCACATTTGGTAATGGGATAGTGCTGTATGGGTTTAGGTGCCAAGTCAGTTAAATTAGCTTATATTTGCAAGGGGAAGAGGTTTTTGAAGGAAAACTATCATATACTTTTTTTTTTTTTTTTTAATGAAACAGGAAACAGTGCAATTAAGTAAGGGGTAGTATACTTCCCATGTACCCAGTTGTTTAAATAGGGGAAAAAGGCATTTGCGGAAATGCTGGCATTTCTGGAGGCAGGCGACACATGATTTTTGGTCTCACTTCACTTTGTAGTGTGGCTTTCCTCAGGCAAGCACATTGTTTTACATTTATAGTATGTTTTTCAATGGTGAATAGTGTCCACTGTTGATCCAAGTGAAGCCCATATATATATGTATTTTTTTTTTCTTTAAGATAAATGAAGTCGGATTTAGAAGGGATGGTCATGACCTAAGGAGAGAGCTGTTATTAGCGTTACTGTTTTCTTTTGGAGCCAGGCAAGCGGACTCTTCAGTTCCACGGCGGAAGCTGGCAGGGAAAGGAGACGATGTGGCTGCCTTCGACTGTGTCCACCTGAGGGCAGGAGGGGTCTGGCCACAGGGCACCCCCACTCCAGACCCCTTCCTTTACTCATGCAGGGCTTGAGTGGTCTTGAAGAGGTTTTCTGTTCATTTCATACCCCTCCCTTCGTTTATTTTCTCACCCACAAGTAGGTGACTAAGTTTCCTCAAAGGCTTTTTGATTTTTCCTTTCCTCTGCCCGGACTGGCCGTGTGTCAGGGGACAGGGGCTTGGTTGTAGGGTACACCAGGGATGTAGCAAGCAAGCAGCTTCTGCAGTGGTGTGCAGATTTTCAGGACCAAAGTATTTGTCACTTCCTATTTAGTGTAGGTCTGTTTACTAATACACTTTTAATGGGAAGACACTTAGAAGACATTGAATCTTCCTCTCAGGATAAGATGCTCTTCTTGTGATTCCTTAATATCTAGTGAAAGAACAATATTATTTTGTGAAAGACTCCACCCCCTTTATATCTAATTCCAAGCTGATAGGAGAATGGAGTAGTGAGAGGGGGTTAAAATGAGGAGAGAGGGCCTGGGTAATTTTAAGCTGCTGAACAACCTTAGTGAGGGGAAGCGTGTGAAAGTTGGGGCTCCAGGGGGCGGGAAGGTGGGGTTGGCCAGGGAGAGAGAATGGGCCAAAATAGGCGGTAGTGCAAAGATTCAATGAGGGGTCCCCCAGGCTTTTGTCTTTTTATAATAGACCAAGGGCATTTTTGGAAAAACAAATTTTGAAAACTCAGCATTTATTTCATACGTGCTATGTCCTAACTGGAAACATTGGTGTGCTAGTGTGGGTTTCTTTTCAACCCCAGTGGTATGGTTGATGTAACAAAGACCTATTTAGGGCTGAGGGTGGGCCCGCTCATGTAACACATGCTGGGTTTGTTCCATCGCCCACTCTGAGTGTGTGGTGGGCTTTGTGAACCACCGAGAGCTTTCTCAGAGCCCGGATGTGAAAGTCTTCTCTCTTTTTCTGCCCCAGACATAGGCAGGGAGCAGGCTTCAAAGTATGGAAATCAAGGTTTCTTTTCAGTGTGAGGAGTGATATTATTAGGATCAAGGAACATGGAGAAGAACATGGAGATTTCGTTGATTGATGTTGTGTTCCTGAGCAATGTAACAGAAAGAACATGAGCAAGATCTTTATTTTTCTTTTATTTACTTATTTTTATCCTCACCTGAGGACATTTTTCCATATTTTGATCAGATAGAGTGGGAGGGGGAGAGAGAGAAACATCGACGTGAAAGGGACACATCGAGTGGCTGCCACCCGCATGACCCCACCAGGGCCGGGGACAAACTGCAACCGAGGTACGTGCCCTCAGCAGGAACCGAACCCAGGTCTCTCTGGACCGCAGGTCGACGCTCTAACTGCTGAGCCAAACCGGCCAGGGCATGAGCATGATCTTTAAAGCAGTCTGCAGGCTGCCCGTGTCTAATACCTGGCTCTGTTCTTAAGAACTCAGCGACTATGGGGACATTTCTTAAATTCCCTCAGCCTCGTTTTCTCCCTTCTGTAAAATGAGGAGAAGAATGATACAGCAAGTCTTTGCTAGGTTTCATGAGTTTAAGTGAAAAGATGTATAAGGAAATCAATTTTTTCATAGGCTAATTGATATAAATAAGAGTTAAGTTCCTATGAATGAATCTTGAGAATAGTATGCTAAGTGAAATAAGTCAGATGGAAAAGCACAAGAACCATATAATTTCACTCCATATGTGGGATATAAAATAGAAAGCAACAAATGAAAACAAACAAAACCAACTCG